AATGTATGACCCAGAAAACAGTCAAGGCAAAATTACTAAACTCCTTAATAGTGATTAATGTATGACCTAAATTTTGAATTAATAAAAATTGAAATTGTAACACACTATAAAAAATTAAAATTTTAGAGACGAAAATTTAAGGACAAAATTATTTTTTAAGAGCTAAATAATTTTGTTACAAAAAGTGTCGTTATTATATTTTTAATAACAAAAATTGGACATTAGTGATGAATTATTATTATTTTAGGACCAATTTTTTTTGTCTTAAAAAATAAACTATTTTGAGACTAAAAGTTTATTTATTAGTGACATTTTCAAAATTGTCTCTAAAAACTTTATTTTTGACTTTTCGGAACGATTTTTTAGCGACTATCCTCATAATGATAGAAATTAATCCCTAAATATCTTTTGTAACAAAGTTTTTACTTTTACAAATCAAAAGATTTAATCTCTAAAATTCTTATATGTTGTATTCACATTTAATTAATTTCGCAATGACAGCTGGTGTCAAAATCTCAGACATTGAATAATTTAACATGCATGCAGTCAAAAAAAAAAAATTTAAGTTCAAAGATTCTTTGTGTTAACATTCACAGCAAAACAACAGCAACTAGGGCAACATTCTAAAACATAGACCACACAATACTAATTCAAGGCAGCATCATGAAACCAATTGAAATCCTCTCATAACAAAACATTGATACTATAAATTCTAGTCACCGATACTATCATACTCTATATGTCCTAGACAAAATCTAAACACTAGATAATAATTTTTTTTTTTCCCCACAAAAGAAAGCTTTAATGATGAAAATAACATATAAAATATATCGATTTACATCAATAATAACAAGACAAGAGCAAAAAATATCAAAGTGAACTCTCCTAATCCCAACTTAGATTGACATTAAGAAAGAAATCCTATCATATACCAACTTAAGCGAAAGTTGATGAGAGCCCGACAAGACAAAGAGGAGCAAACAAGCAAACAAACTACCAACAAGAATTGATCCAATAGCAAGACACCAAGCAAGGGTGTTCACCAATCCGATTCACTCGAAAAATCTGAACCGAACCGTCCGACCCGATTATACTGCAGATAGTTACGAACATGTATTCAGACGGTTGCGGTTCATTTTCTGCAATTTTTTTGATTTTTCAGTCGGACATCAGAAAAAATAAAAAAATATATGAATAACTCAAACCGACTGACTTAATTATATATATAGTTCGTTGCTTCTCTGCGTAAGTAAAATAAATTTATTTCCCCCAAGACATATTTGACTTTTCTATGTACATACACACCTTTAATTGTAGTTGATGCAGTCACTGACTCTTCATCTTCTCAAGACTTACCTTTTCAATAATCTGAGGCAAACTTTTCATGTCTATCTCTCTCTCTCTCTCTCTCTCTTTAAATTTTACCTTCCCTTCCCAATACAAAAACTTTTCCATCTTCTATCTTATCCTCTTTCATCCCACTTTCTTATATCTCTCTCTTAACCTTTTGCCTCTTTCTAAATTTTCCCATCCCAAGACAAACAAATATCTGACCTCACCTTTCTATCTTCTATCTTCTTCTCTTTCTTCCACTCTCTCATCTCATCTCTCTGTTTCTTAAACCTTTTACCTCCTCCTCACCCACATTCATTTCCATCTCCATTTTCTCTCCACCCTTTTGTCTTTCTCTCCATCTCTCTCTCTCTCTCACCCACCCCTTCTCTCTGTCTTTAACCAGCTCCCTCTCTTTCTCTCTCACGATTTGCAGATCTCCTCTCTCTGCGACTGTGGTGATGACGTGAGATCATGGAAGAGGTGATGGCTTGAGATTGATTATGCTGAGATTACAGTGCTGATGATGGTGACAGTGTTTTCATTAAGATCTATTTTTGCTTCTTCCTTATCTCTTGAAACACTTTTCTTCCCTCTTTTGCCTAGAAACCCTTTCTTCTTCCTCGCACCCTTTACTTTGAGATAGTAGAACTTCATTGCAGCATCGACCGAAGGCCGACTGAAGTTTTTACCACCCACAATGAACGGTTTCGATGCAGGTTTTGGTCGACATCGGATGAAAAGTTTGCCAAACCGAAGGTGTCGGTTCAGATGTCGGTGACTGTCAAAACCGGTCCAATCTGACCCATGAACAACCCTAACACCAAGACACCACAACAGCCAGATAACAAGAATAGCAGCAGAAACCCACTGCCAGGCATCAAATACACCTCTTGACTTGATTCAAGTTGGAAACAAAATCATGGATGGAATATAGATTGCCAACAGAGTAACTCTTCAACCAAACAACAATTCTAACTTTGAGAAGCTCACTGAGCTCCATGATCCATGAAGTTAGGATGAGCACTATTAAACACATAATCATTCCTAAGCTTCCAAATAGACCACATAGCAGCAAGTGGGATGGCATTCCATATTTGAAGTTCTTTCTTCCTTATTTTAGTGCCAGACCACAAAACAAATAAGTTCACCATAGAACCTGGGCATACCCAACATAAACCCCCACCAATCTATGATGTTAGACCAAATTTGCCAGGTAAAGGGACAATGAAGCAAAACATGGTTAATGGTCTCAGGATCTGCTTTACAAAAAATACACTGAGTGGCAACCTCCCCTCTAAGGATACCAATACTATGAAGGAAAATGGATGCTTTGATTCTGCCTTTCCAAACCAGGCAAGAAAAAATTGGACTTTTGGTGGTGTGATATTATTCCAAATGAATTTAGGAAGAGACAAATCTGTGCCTCTATTGGGCTGCAGCCAAGAAAATAACTCACTAAATTTGAAGACACCCAGACTAGAACCTTTCCATCTCATGCTATCCTCTACCCCATGCCTTAATGGAGGCCCCTCACCCAGTAATACTTGTAGATTTTGGACATCTTCATTTTTCCATGCCAACAGGGGCTTTCTAAAGCTTAAATTCTAGTTGGAATAGGTACTTTTCCTGCCTATAAAGTCTTTCAGGGATCCATCTTTATCAGAAGAAAGTCTAAAAAGTCTAGGAAATTGAGATTGAAGACAGCCAATCCCCAGCCAAATGTCCTTCTAGAAAGAAATGTTGCCCCCATCACCGACAACTAATTCTAAGTTGTTCAAGAAGAAGTTGAGTAGAGTAAGATTACTTGAAGCAAGGTCCATGATGTCTTTCCAGGCATAGCCTATCCTCCATCTTTCTCAATTTCCATACTTTCCCTAATAACTCTTTTCTTCTGACAGATTCATCAACATGAAGTGATCTATCTTCCGCTAACAAATCCCATGAGTGAAGTTTAGCTTCCGTCTCTCTAAGATTTTCACCGATGTTGCCAAATACTTCCTTATTCCAGTTTTTCAGAGAAAGTTTTAAAGCTTGTAACTTCTTCTTTAGAATAAAACCTACCCAGCCCTCTAAAATTGAATCCTCTCAATTTTGCTCGACTATATGAAGGAAGTTGGTGTGCATGCTGCAAGAGTTGATGAACCTAAAGGGTTTAGGTTCCCGATCTCTGTTATCTTCCATTAGTAGAAGAGGACGATGAATCTATCTATTTTTCTCCACCTAACTCCATCTTAAGAACTATCCCATGTGCATTTTCTACCTAGCATTGGTAAGTCCACCGCTTTAATTTTTTCAATGACATCACCAAAATCCTTTATCCCAACCTCACTTGTAACACAACCCTTCTTTTCTCCAATGTTTTTGACTTCATTGAAATCACCTCCAATGCAATAGGGATGAATGAAAAATTATTTAAGGCTGAATAATAATTCCCACACAACTCCTTCTTTTTAGCATGTCATTGGAGGCATAAACATTCAAAATAGTACAATTGAAATTTGAAGAGGTAGTACCTAAAAGTAGGATAAAATTCTTACTACAGCAACAATCAGACAAAGTGAAAGTCTCTGGTTTCTAGATACACAGCAGCCCACCTATATTCCTTATTGCGTCCATAGCCATGAACTCCATTTGATTTCCAGGCCATAAAGATCTGCTAAATAACTCTGAGAGCTCTGCTTTCTTTGTCTCTTGAAATACAACAAAATCTAGTTTCCTAACTCTGATTATCTCCTTTAATTTCCTTATTTTCTCAGATTTTCCTAACAGCTTCGATTTGTAGCTCGAATAGAGCCTCTCTGAATCCCCCAAATTTGGAAAAGGTGAGTTTTGAATGTTTGGCTCAGTTGCAACAACATTGGAGAGGAGAGGAACCACGCGCGAGAAATAGAAGAAGAAAAGAAAGGAGAGGAAAGGAACCAGTTGAAGAAGAATAGGCGAGAGCGACCACCATCGACGTCGATCGGTGCTGACACTACCGACCTGGGTGACCATCGACGACCAACGAAAAACTCTGCCCACCGTCAGTGCTGTTCGTCGACCAGCGAAAAACTCTGCCCACCTGGTGCGTTTTTTTGTGTTTTTTTTTCTTCTGATAAATTTATATTTTTTTGTTGAAAGAGTGGTTACTCACCTGAATCTGAATTTGAATCTGGTCCGTCAATTTGGTGCGAAATACCACTCCGTCAATATTTCACTCACCTGAATCTGAATCTGGTCCGTCAAGTTATAATTTTTTTTTTTGTTTTTTACTCACCTGAATCTGAATGCGGGGGATTAGAAGAATGGTTATCCATGTTTGAGTCTATGTGGGTAGATGATTTCAACTAAAAAATATGTTTGGGAGTCTATGTTTGCTCTTGTTGAAGTGAAATCTAAATTTGTTGAATATGTGTGTATACTGTGGTTGGTTAATCTCTTAATCTCTTAAATTTGTAGTCTCTAACCTGTGGTTGGTTAATCTCTGTGATGTCTCTAATCTGTGTGTATACAATCATGTTTAGATTTCACAAATCATGTTCTATGGTGTTTTGGTTAATCTCTTAATCTGTGTGTATACAATCATGTTTTGGTTGGTTAATTATTGAATCTGTCTGAATCTCTGAGTCTTGTTTAACATCCACTTGAACCTTATTTATGTGAATATGTGAATCTCTGAATCTGTGATGTCTGAATCTGAATGTAAGTGGTTTTTAACATCACTGAATCTAAATCTGTGATGTCTCTAACCTTATTTATGATTTGTTGTGTATTTCATTCTGCTGATTTTATACAGATTACAGTAGAGTGTTTCACACAATGGACATTGATTCAAATAATCATACATTGAGTGGGGGTGAGGAAGTTGAGGAAACAGAGAACAATCCTTCATTAAATGAGAGTGGTGAAATTGAAGAACCTAAGAAGGGGATGTGTTTTACTTCAAAGCAAGAAGTGCACGAGTTTTATGCAAAATATGCTAAAAATGTTGGATTTGCAATAGCTTACAGAACACAGAATGTTAGAGCGGATGGAAAGGTAAAATACTTTGGAATTGAATGTACTCGGGCGTAGAAGATGACAAAAAGATCAGAAGTAAACCCCCTGAAACCATCGTTGTCATCAAAAATTGATTGTAAAGCTAAGGTAAGAGCGACTTTACAACCAGATGGAAGATATAAGTTAACTACAGTTGTGCTTGAGCATGCGCATGATTTAATTCCTAGTGACTCATGCCATTTTCCAATGAATAAGAGGATTCGAACTCCTGTGAAGAGAAGATTAGAAATAAACGATAAGTCGGAATAGGGGTGTCTAGGAATTTTCATTCTATAGTTGTTGAAGCGGGGGGATATGAGGCATTAACATTTGATGAACGAGATGCAAGAAATCACATTCAAAATGCTAGAAGATTGAGGCTTGGGGTAGGAGATGCCGAATCAGTTGCATTCTATTTTCATAGGATGCAACAAGAAAATTCAAACTTCTATTCTGTAATTGACTTTGATGTAGATGGGCGCATACGAAAATTATTTTGGGCGGACTCAAGGAGTAGGGCGGCTTATAAAGCATTTGGGGATGTTGTCTCATTTGACACCATCTATCTCACAAACAAGTATGATAAGCCGTTTGCTCCGTTTGTAGGAGTTAATCGCCATGGACAATCAATCTTGTTTGGTTGTGGGCTATTATCTAATGAAAACACGGACACATTTGTTTGGCTATTCAAAGAATGGTTAAATTGCATGTCAGCCACTTCTCCAAAAGCTATTATAACTGACCAGTGCAGAGCCATGCAAAATGGCATACAAATTGTTTTCCCATATGCTCGACATCATTGGTGTTTATGGCATGTAATGAAGAAAATACCTGAGAAATTGAGAGGATATTCCCAATATGAAGCCATCGAATTCGCTTTACAAAATGCAGTCTATGATTCTTTCAGAAAAGATGAATTTGATGAGGAATGACAAATGATGATTGAAAAGTTTAGCCTTCATGACAACGAGTGGTTGGAGGTATTATATGGTGAGCGACATAGGTGGATTCTTGCATATGTGAAAGATATATTTTGGGCTGGCATGTCAACTACACAGCGAAGTGAGAGCATGAATGCATTTTTTGATGGCTATGTAAACTCAAAGACTACTTTAAAGCAATTTGCTGAACAGTACGACAATACATTGAGAAGTAAGGTGGAGAAGGAGACCAAAGCAGACTTCAAATCTCGAAACAAATTGTATGATTGCTTAACGGTGTATGAGTTTGAGAAACAATTTCGTGCTGCCTACACAAATGCAAAATTTAAAGAAGTTCAAGTAGAATTGAAGTGACTACTGTATTGTCATGCGACTCTTGTGAAGGAGGAGGGATCCATTTGTACATATCATGTGAAGGAAGCTGTGCTTGTGGATGACAAAATGAAGAAAGTTGAATTTGTTGTATACTTTAATTCAACTGAATTTGAAATGCAATGTGTGTGTTGGTGGTTTGAGTTTAGGGGGATCATGTGTGCCCATTCCCTTAGTGTGCTCATCGAGAGGTGCATATATGAGGTTCCAGATAAGTACATTATGCCAAGATGAAGAAAAGATTTGGAAAGAGGGTACACATGTATTCCAACGACATACATGAAATCCGGGGCTGCCCTTAATGCAAAGGTACATGATAACTACCACAAGACACTAGATGAAATTATAGAAATTGCTTCTAACGATGATGGTAAACACAAAGCCATTCAACTTGGGTTGAGAGAAATCAAGGAAAGAGTAAGAAAAGATGAATCTGGTTATGCGAGTAATGTGCCACCTTCTAGTAGTCTTGTCCCACCTTGTAGTAGTAATGTGCCACCTTCTAGTACTACTCGCAAGGTGCTTAGTCCTTTGGTTGCTCGCCGAAGAGGCCGTCCATGTACGAAACGGAAGGTGAGCAAGGTGGATGAAATAGTGAATCGGTTGAAGGGAAAGAATAAAAAGGCATCAAAAGTCCAGGTACATTTTTTATTTTCTGATTGTATGTAAATTTCATAATTTATTTTTTTCAAACTTTTTCACCAATGTGTGTTACTATTGGGTCGTAAGGTGGGTCAATGTGAACCTTGTAAGTTGAATTTTGGTTGTACGGACGCCATAGAAGATAATACATACGATCGGGTATGTGTTTCATGGTTCATATTGAATATTTTGTATGGTATTTATTACATTATGTTTGAACTTATTAATGATATTTTGTTATTATGTATCATAAGGTGCTGCAAGGTCAATCCTATTATTTTCCTTGTATGGATGAGACACAAGAGAGTGCATTGCAAATGGTTGACAAAATTGGAAGCTCATCTTTCAGTGAATCAGGAATGACGAATATAGATGGTTCAACTTTTGTGGACTTGAATATAGATATGGATCCGAACGCTCCATTTTTTTTTCCGGTTTTTGAATTGATTTTGTACTTATGTACTTCACAGATTGTGCACATGTTTTATTTGATCATGAACAGATCTGAATAGATGCTGTGAAGTTTTTGAACAGATTTTGTAAATTTATGTACTTCATAGATTCTGCGTAGGTTGTATTGGATCATAAACAGATCTGAACAGATTCTGTGAAGTTTTTGAATAGATTTTGTAAACCTATGTACTTCACAGATTCTGCACAGGTTATGATGAATATGTTAACAGGTTATATTTTGAACAGGTTATGATGAATCTGTGAACAGGTTACATTTTTAACAGGCTATTTGATGAATCTGTGCATTTATTTTGAATAGGTTATTTTGAACAGATTCTACACAGGTTATTTTGATGAATCTGTGAACAGGTTATTTTGAACAGATTTTGCACAGGTCCTATGTTGTTGGATTTCCATTGTGTTTTCTGATGTTGTTTTCATACTGATGAATCTGTGAACAGGTTATTTTGATAAAGATTATGTGTGTTTTTTCATGTTTTTTCCCTTTGTTTCCCCCTCCAATGACAGGTTGATTGTTTGATTCAGTTTTGATTCAGTTTTTAATAGATTATATTCAGATTATAATTGATTCAACAGATTCTGCACAGCAGAATGAAGCATAATGAAGTACAGTAATGAAGTGCAGAAATGATTAGTCCAGAATGAAGCAAAACTGATCAGTCCAAAATGAAGTACAGAACTGAAGCAGAATGAAGTGCAGAACTGAAGCATAATTGAGCAGTCCAGAATGAAGTGCAGAACTGAGCAGTCTAGAATGAAGCAACATAGCAGAATGAAGCAGCAGAATGAAACAGGTTGATGCAGAATGAAGTAGAATGAATGAGGTTAATGCAGAATGATGCAGGTTGATGCAGAATGAAGTAGAATGAAGCAGGTTGATACCAAATGATGCAGCAAAATGATGTAACAGATGAAGTAGGTTGATGCAGAATGATGCAGCAGAATGATGAAGTAGCACTGTTGATGCAGAATGATGAAGTAGCAGATGAAATAGGTTGATGCAGAATGAGGCTTTGGGTTTTGTTTAGGTCTGTGCTTATGTAAAAGAATTAATGACTCTACATTTCAACATAATGCATTTCTGGCTTTGCTACAACATTTCTCTCTATTTTTGTTGTTGTGTTGTAATGCCAGAATTGCAGGGTGATTTTGTGAATGAAAGTCTCTCTTGTTGGGTTTTGCTGTGATGTTTGTGTTTTCAGTGGCTAGTATAGTGTAAAGACTAGAAAGAAAACTTGGGTTGAATTGAAGGCATGGTTTTGCAATTGGGTTTGTTCTTTTTGATACTCTTTTGCACTGGGCTTGGGTTTTGGTCTTGTTGTTTTGTTGTGGTTTAAGAGGATCTGATTATCAATTATGTGTTACAATAGAAGCATTAAGCTGTGCTTATTTATTTGAAATGTTTTTCATTGCCCATATAGGTTTACTGGTTGAGTTTTGGCATTGCTTGGTCTGGTTAATTATTAGTTGGATTTGGGCAAGTAATATCACTGACATGGTAATTTCCATAACTGCTACAGTGCTACTCCTGTAGAATGTTGGTTTGATGGTTTATGCCTAGCTCTTCAACAAAACAACACAACACATATCTTTCTGGGCCTATGATGCATGATTCTCACATAAAAATTGAAATTTTTAAACATGGTTTTGTTATTCCATGGCACAATATCAAGAATGAGCAACATTCTAACCTTTATGACAGTAAGGAGTTAGGAGAGCTAGAAGCATGTAATTCTATAAAATGAGCAACACACACACTGGACTAGTCTAGAAAACATGTAATTCTATAGTCTGGTCTCCACTTAGCTCCTTTACATTGACATCATAATTCAACAAGTCCATTATAGAAATTCAATAAATTCAACATGTCTGGTATTGAACTATCAACAAGTCCATTCAATCCATAGAAGTCCATTCAAGAAATTCAACAAGAACTTCAACAAGAAATTCAACCTATCAACAATAATTGAAAATAGAAGTCCATTCAATCCATAAATACATCCATAAAATCCATTCCATCCATAAGTACATCCATCAAATTCTTCAACAGCTATGAACTTAGTAATTTACATTATAAAATAGAAAACAATACAAAATACAATGACATAAAGCACGGCATTCAATTTCTTCTCCATCTTTCGAAGCCTTCTAGCATGCTCCTGAAATTCATTATCCATCTCATAAACCCTTGTGCTTAGATCGTTAAATTCTTCGCTTCTTATAGATGTACGAGGTGCAGCATTGGAGATCACGTCGTCGTCGTCATTATTTGTGAACTTGAAATAATTGCAGTGTTCCTCACCAATCTACAATGCATGACAATCAGTTAATCAAATCAGGGTAATAAATTTGCAAACAAATTTCAATACTGCTTACATATCTTGATGGACACACAAAGTACACACGTCCTTTATTTCCATTCTGATTGGTTCGGACAATGTGAATGGCAGCTGTTCTCCCACAATCACACTATCTTGGATTCAATCTTATGTTGCTATTATTACTAGAGGAAGAAGCCATTTTGTAATCTGCATACAAAATGGAACATAAATGTTATAGGTTCGTCTGTTGGGTAACAGCGACTATAAGCACGAACCCACAAACAGAACATAAATGTTATATGGCATCAGGTAAGTCAAGAATGACAGAACCTTAACTACAGAGCGAATATTTCAGTCTAAAACAAATAAGGACAAATTTGTGTGGAACTTTATTATATCATGCAACAATGGATTTTATGAGAAGACAAGAAGACAAGCTAGTCCTGTGAATCACTTATGTCACACACAATATCAGAATATTTAAACAAGGGGAGAAGTTCAAATCCTAGGAGGCCAGAAAACAGAACGAAGAATATCCAAAACTAGACATTTTCTTCTCCCCAAGTTCTCTAGTGATATAGAACACAATTCATAATCTTGACTAGAAGTGGAAGCCAAAGAATATTGTGAATAACCAAATGGAATGAATCATGCACGTAAAGTCAACCACAAATCCATTACTCTTTATACAAATAACACCACCAATTATGTAGAAATTGCCAAATCATGCCCGTAAAGTCAACCACAAGTTTCTTATTATACGCCTATACAAGAAAATGCAACTTCCAACCAAATAATTATATGAGTATCTCATAAGACACCCTCAAGACAAAAAAAGACACCATCGATAATGGTTTACATATGCCAAACCCTTTTCCAATTAACCAACTCTCTCAGATTCTTGCCAACATTTTGTAAAAAGATTGCTCCTCAAACTTGCCAGCCATAGAGGCAACCATGCTAAAATCCCATCATTCCCAGCATTACAATCAAGTGTAAGCTTAATTTAGTTTACAATAAGTTCTAAGGTAATTTATTAGACTAATCTAATTTTCAAAAGTTATCAGTTGGGATGGCTGACCTAGACGATCAACACAATCATTAATGTTAGTCGACTACACATTCAACATAACAATCAACATAACCCTAACAATCATTAATGTTAACGGATTTTCATACATT